CTAGGCAGTCAAGCTATAATAAATTCCCAGCCCCTCTCCGGGCGGATGCGTTTCCTGCCCGCTAGGCAGTCAAGATATAATAAATTCCCAGCCCCTCACCGGGCGGATGCATTCCCTACCCGCTAGGCAGTCAAGCCATAATAATAAAACATAAACCACACACCAGCTGTCTCACACGCACACAAACACTCAAGAGGCAGATAGACAATCGACAGGTTTGTTTTAAAAGGCACCGGATAAAAGATTACCTGTCTTGTAGCCTTCTGGGAGCCGGAAGTGGACACGGAGATAGACCGACACAAAACGGGAGAATACAGGCAAATCACTGTATTTAGGAGGTGATCAGGCTCCGGTTGTCTCACTTTCTGAAAGTCCGCTCCGGTCCCGGTTTCCGGCCGCCCGAACCGGCAAAACCCTGTGCCCCACGTTGGGAGCCAAGTGATGTGGAATCAATCAATCAATTGAATATCTTGCCTATCTGTCCCCGGCCAAATTTAAAAAGATGCGTGCATGCTCCTGAAGTAATTCACACCAGACACAGGTTTCAGGTTAATGAAAAACTTGAGGAATGTTTATTCTGGGGAAATGGCATGCCCCTTATAAAGCAAAATTACATCATATGCATTGTCAGAGATAACATGGAATAATACATCAATAATTGGTTAGGTGTGAAGTGGTTCATTTAGTGCCCTTCCTACCGGGTGTGATGTCACTGGTATCTTGGAGGTCTCCCCCAGATTCCAGCACCATCTTGTTAATGAAGGGGGTTAGTCGATGTCAAAGGGAAACTCCATTTTAGGTGAATCACATATAAGGTTGAATAATGCTGATTGTGGTTATGCTGAGTAAATGGGCATTTTATTAATATGATTTGGGTTAATATTTTTGTCCACAACATATATAAGTATATATATATAACAATAATTATATATATATTTAATCCGTATCAGTCTACGTGTAATTTGATATTAATATATATATATAATTATATATATATTAATAGTAAAATACACCTAGACAGTGTATGTGTGTGTATGTATATGTGTGTATATATACTTGGATCATATATATATAATATTTGTGTACGAGGACGTAGGGCAATGATAGTAAAAGAAGCAGTATAAGTAATAGCAAGTCAGTTGAGGTGTGCCGAAACTGACGTGAGGTTAGGCCTGTAAAAGAGGGCCTACCTAGGATAAATGTTAATGAATTGAGGGTGCGGTGGGAGGGGCACTTCCGGGAACGTCGATGACAGGTAAGCTGGGCTTGTTGTGGTTTATATAGGGAAAAATGTACCTCCCACAATTCCAGGCCAAACCTTCTATTTGTGTACGGCACCTTACGAGGACGTAGGGCAATGGTAGTAAAAGAAGCAGTATAAGTATTTTTTTTTTTACACTGATTTTAATTTAATATTATTTGATTTCCAGCCAGCAGGGGGACTAACTGTTATTACAGGCAGTCCCCCTGCTGGCAATGCAGCAGCCAGCGCAAGGACCTCACTCTCACATGGCCGGGGGGGGGGTCCAGAGGAGGCAGGATTCGCTGCGGGGGACACCCTGGGATCCCAGGCGAGTCTCCCCAACCGTGATCGCCGGCGTGGGATCGCCGGCGACCGGATAACTAAAAAAAACAAAAAACGGAGGGCGTACTATTACGCCCTGCGGCGTTTAGAGCCGCTTAGAATAGGGCGTAATAGTATGCCCTCCGGTTTTAAGGGGTTAAGCTAATAAAATATCTTCCTGTTAAAATCAAACAGCAGCATTTGCAATACATATAACATTGCTTATCCTAAATATAGGAAACATGCAGAACATATTTTGACTTTACAGCCTTCTTCCAGGCCCATACACACTACTAATGCCTTTAACTTTATATGGCCCTTAACCAAGCTATACTGTGTTGTCAATTTCCAGTTTCTTCCACGACACACTTAAAGTGTAAATAGTGTGCACATGTTATACCGGTGATGCCCAAAAGGTAAATACCCAGATGTTATAGAACTAATACTACCATGATGCTTTTAATGCCTCTACAGGGAGTGCAGAATTATTAGGCAAGTTGTATTTTTGAGGATTAATTTTATTATTGAACAACAACCATGTTCTCAATGAACCCAAAAAACTCATTAATATCAAAGCTGAATATTTTTGAAGTAGTTTTTAGTTTGTTTTTAGTTATAGCTATGTTAGGGGGATATCTGTGTGTGCAGGTGACTATTACTGTGCATAATTATTAGGCAACTTAACAAAAAACAAATATATACCCATTTCAATTATTTATTATTAACAGTGAAACCAATATAACATCTCAACATTCACAAATATACATTTCTGACATTCAAGGGCACTCAAAAGCCTGCCATCCATGGATTCTGTCAGTGTTTTGATCTGTTCACCATCAACATTGCGTGCAGCAGCAACCACAGCCTCCCAGACACTGTTCATTTGATGATGGACCACAGGTTCTCAATGGGGTTCAGATCAGGTGAACAAGGAGGCCATGTCATTAGATTTTCTTCTTTTATACCCTTTCTTGCCAGCCACGCTGTGGAGTACTTGGACGCGTGTGATGGAGCATTGTCCTGCATGAAAATCATGTTTTTCTTGAAGGATGCAGACTTCTTCCTGTACCACTGCTTGAAGAAGGTGTCTTCCAGGAACTGGCAGTAGGACTGAGAGTTGAGCTTGACTCCATCCTCAACCCGAAAAGGCCCCACAAGCTCATCTTTGATGATACCAGCCCAAACCAGTACTCCACCTCCACCTTGCTGGCGTCTGAGTCGGACTGGAGCTCTCTGCCCTTTACCAATCCAGCCACGGGCCCATCCATCTGGCCCATCAAGACTCACTCTCATTTATCAGTCCATAAAACCTTAGAAAAATCAGTCTTGAGATATTTCTTGGCCCAGTCTTGACGTTTCAGCTTGTGTGTCTTGTTCAGTGGTGGTCGTCTTTCAGCCTTTCTTACCTTGGCCATGTCTCTGTGTATTGCACACCTTGTGCTTTTGGGCACTCCAGTGATGTTGCAGCTCTGAAATATGGCCAAACTGGTGGCAAGTGGCATCGTGGCAGCTGCACGCTTGACTTTTCTCAGTTCATGGGCAGTTATTTTGCGCCTTGGTTTTTCCACACGCTTCTTGCGACCCTGTTGACTATTTTGAATGAAACGCTTGATTGTTCGATGATCACGCTTCAGAAGTTTGCAATTTTAAGAGTGCTGCATCCCTCTGCAAGATATCTCACTATTTTTTACTTTTCTGAGCCTGTCAAGTCCTTCTTTTGACCCATTTTGCCAAAGGAAAGGAAGTTGCCTAATAATTATGCACACCTGATATAGGGTGTTGATGTCATTAGACCACACCCCTTCTCATTACAGAGATGCACATCACCTAATATGCTTAATTGGTGGTAGGCTTTCGAGCCTATACAGCTTGGAGTAAGACAACATGCATAAAGAGGATGATGTGGTCAAAATACTCCTTTGCCTAATAATTCTGCACTCCCTGTAGAATGACAAAGCATCATGGAAGCTGTAGTTTTAAAACATCTAGGGATCTACCTTTTGGGCACCCCGGTGTTATGCAGTCATGGAAAAAAAAATATTTTGGTGCTTGGAATACCGCTATATTTGCTTTCGAAGAAAAATCATAAATAGAAAGAGAGCAGTTTGGCTTTTATCCACCAAAACATGCAATCTGTTGCAATTCAGAAAAAAGGCAGTGTTTACATTGCCCCTAGGGATATCCAAGTGGCCACTTCTTAGATGGCCACTGGAGGGGCTTCCTGGCTCAGGGCTGCACACTAAGCAGCCATGCCGTTCAGCAGGGGGGGGGGGGAGCCCATGCCCGCACCCACGGACCCACTCGCTGCTGGAAATAAGGTGAGTTTTATACTTTTATATGGGGGCTAAGGGGGGGCAAGCAACCTAAATGGTGGGTTAAACACTATAGGGTCATGAATACACGTTTGAGTTCCTGACCCCATAGTGATCCTTTAAAGGGACACTGTAGGCCCCCAGACCACTTCAGCTCATTGAAGTGGTCTAGGTGCTGTGTCCCTTTTGCACCTAGTGCTGCAATATAAAATATTGCAGTTCTAGAGAACTGCAATGTTTACATTGCAGCACTCAGTCTGCCCTCAGTGTCTGTCTACCAGACAGCCACTAGAGGGCTTCTGGAATTCAAAACTGACTTTTGGTACGTTATTGAACGCTGGACGTCCTCATGGACCTCCAGAGTCCACATAGACACCTCCAGTGTCTCATAGAGATGCATTGATTCTGTGCATCTCTATGAGGAGATCATAGGCGTGCGCAGCCTATTGCATTAGGGTGTGCACCCTAAAGCACAAACACACGCTGTGTGTGTGTGTGTGTATGTATCTATATATATAGACACACACTGCTGTGTGTGCTGTTAGTGTGATGTGTGTGTGAGGGTGCTGTTAGTGTGACGTGAGGGTGTTTGTGTGTGTGTGTGTTTGTGACTGTGCTGTTTGTGTGTATGTTTGTCATGTGAGTGTCGTGTATTTGTGAGGGTGCTGTTTGTGTGCTGTGTGTGAGAGTGTTGTTTTTTTTAAAGGTGCTGTGTGTGTTTGTGAGGGTGCGGTTAGTGTACTGTGTGTGTGTGAGCTGTATGTGTGTAGGTGCTGTATGTGTGTGTGCTGTATGTTTGGAGGGATTTGGCAGATTAGTAAATCCTTGCTGCCATGCGCCATCCCTGGTGGTCCAGTGGAGAGTGCCATGTGCCATCCCTGGTGGTCCAGTGGAGAGTGAACTCTAGCCTGCGGGGCTAGAGTTAACTCTCGCGAGATCTGAGCGTTGCCGCAGCAACGCTCAGATATCGCGAGAGGAACCTGGCGGAGCTTCTGTCTAGAGCTCCCTGGGTCCTCTCCTGCCTCCCTCCATGCTGCTGTGGGCCGGTGAGGTAGATCTTTGGTCTCCCCGCCAGCCCATGGAGGCTTAGAGCAGAGCCGGCACTCAGATAGCGCCGGCTCTGCGTGTGTGTGTGTGTTTGTGTGTGTGTGTGTATGTATGTATATATATATATATATATATACGTACACACACAAACTCACAGACACATTCAGACACACACACACATACACTCACAGACACACACACACACACACACAGACACACACACACACACACACACACACACACACACACACACACACACACACACACACACACACACACACACACACACACACACACACACACACTCCCACACACACACACACACACACACACACACACACACACACTCATACTTCCAGACACACACACACACATAGTCACACATTCATAGACACACACACACACACACACACACACACACACACACACACACACACACACACACACAGACACACTCACACAGACACACACACACACACACACAAGAACAAATTATTACATTTTAATTTAAAAAAAAATGTCCACCCAGCCTCCTACCTGGAGTGCTGGCGTGGACTTTTCCCTGGGGTCCAGTGAGACGGGCGCCTCTCTGCAGCTCAGCCGCAGCGAGTGAGCTGTCTGCTCTCTGCTTCCTCTCACCGCGCGGGCTGTCTGCTGTAGCTGGGAGCCGGAATATGACGTCGGAATATGACGTCATATTCCGGCTCCCGGCAGGGAGCAGAGAGCAGACAGCTCCCTCGCCGCGCGCTGAACGGGGGGGGGGAATCCATCACCTCTTGCCCTCCCCATGACAGGGGCAAGAGGTGAAACAGGGGGCACTGAGTGCCTGCAGGACTCAAACCGCCAAGTGCCCACCGGATTAGGAGTGCCCCAGGCACTGGCGGCACACACCAGCCATGCATGCCCTATGGAGGAGATGCTGATTGGCCAGAACTGTGTTTGGTTTGTGCTGGCTCTGCCCCTGATCTGCCTCTTTGACAAGCTTAGCCAATCCAATACTTTTCTATGGGAAAGCATTGTGATTAACTGAGATCACCACTTCTGATTATGTCAGCCAAGCAGGCAAATCAGGGGCAGAGCCAGCAGCAGCAGACTGCAATAAAGATAATATTTTGCTATATTTAGGGGGTAAAGGGGACCAGAGGGGCTATATGGTGTTTTTAACACCATAGGGTCAGGAATACATATTTGTGTTCCTATCCCTACAGCGTTCATATAAATACCCTATATTTCTGCATTTTACCTCTAGGATCCATTGTTGCATATATTGGTTTAGTTCTATTTCTAACAAATAATACTATAGTGTATGTTTTACTTTTTCTTTTGGTCACCTGTTATTAGCCACTATAATTTACTTGTAAGATTATTTTCTGGTACTGAAAAAGGGTTAACCTTCAGATAAAATTCAAAATGCTTCCTGTGAATAAATTCCTTTTGTATTCAGCTAGGTTATCGTTTAAAAACCCATTTTCTGCACATGAGTTGGACAGAGACCAAGTGCTTTGTGTAGGATACAATGACACAGGAAGCAGAGAAGTGTGTCTTTATCAGCCTGACTATACACAAAGGTGATTATCTGATAATTAAAATAATAATTTAGTCATTACAAAAGACTCCAAACCCAAATAGCTCCCAGGCAATCACAGACAAAACATGTATGCTATGTCTTCCTATCATCTCTTTAACTTCCTATGTGCACAGCACTCTGCCTTTTAAGAAGAAATCTATTTTCATTTGTGGACTTTTTGTTTAAAAAGTATTCCATAATATAAGCTGATCTGTGCTGGCCAGTGCGAGAAACTGAAAGATGGTACCTCCTCGCAGGGCCGGTGCAAGGATTTCTGCCGCCCTAGGCAAAGATCCATTTTGCCGCCCCCTCATGAAAGCAAATACAAACTCAGAGAGTTTTATTCACTACACTCTGAATTGCAGGGAGTTGAAAACCAAATTGCAAAGTAGAAGCAAAAACAGCTGAACTGTGACTGTAGCCGAATTGGAGAATTTTTCTAGACCAGCTATTTTGGCTTAAATTTTGCCATATGGTTTTCAGTTAGGTCTACCCAATAAACACATGCTGCTTAATGCGTACATCCATAAACACACACTGCCTAATTCCTATATCCATACACACATACTGCTTAATGCGTACATCCTTACACACATACTGCTTAATGCGTACATCCGTACACACATACTGCTTAATGCGTACATCCGTACACACGTACTGCTTAATGCGTATACCTGTATACACATACTGCTTAATGCTTATATCCGTACACACATACTTCTTAATGCGTACATCCGTACACACATACTTCTTAATGCGTACATCCGTACACACATACTGCTTAATGCGTATACCCGTATACACATACTGCTTAATGCGTACATCCGTACACACATACTTCTTAATGTGTACATCCATACACACATACTGCCTAATACATGCATCCATACACACATACTTCTTAATGCATACATCCATGCACACATACTGCCTAATAGATACATTGTACATTGAATACATAATTTATCGCTGTGATAAATTGTGTATTCAATGCATTCAGTGAATTTAATTAATAAAACTAGCACAGACGAGCAGACACACTGACATTGACACACTGACAGACACATACCCAGTCACTGACAGATACAAACACTCACAGACACACACACACTCACTCACTCACTCACTCACACACACACATACACACACACACACTGACAGACACATACACAGACAGACACACTCACTGACAGTCAAACACACTGACACACAGACTCACTCAATTTAATTTTTTTGAGGCAAATTCAGTCTCCCTACCTCCCTGGGGTCCAGTGTGGGGCAGCTTCTCACTTTTCCAGAGCGCTGTTTAGTATGCTAGGGCAGGAAATACGTCATATTCCGACTCCCGGCATCACAGAGGACGTGCAAGGGAGGAGTGAGAAGCTGTAAGAACAGCCTCCCTCGCCGCCCACACTGCCGCCTGCCTCCTGTCTCCCTCTCCTCTGGCATTTCACAGCAGAGCAGGCACCTGCCATCAAAGTAAGCAGGTGCCTGCTGTGCCATTCCGTAAAAGCACCGCATCGGGCCTTCGGGCACCTGGAGTATCAGATCAAGAGCCGCTCGCCCAGCGCTGGGGCCCAAGACAGGGGCAGTCCAACAGGAAACATCTTGGTGGGCGCCTAGTTCGTCTAGCAGTGGCACTGGCCCTGCCTCTTCGTCATTAACAAGTAATGTCTGGAATTTGAAAATTATATCCATGGAAATGATTGCTGCCCCACTTCATGAGAATATGCCTCATTTCATGAGAACTGTCAGTATGAGAATATGCTGACTTTCTCTGTGCCAGGCTACTATAGCTCCTCAACCCAAATGTGACCATGTGACACATTGTTGTAGATGACCTACAACTTGACTATGAGTATGATGAGCCAGAGGAATTACAAGAGGGGAGGATAGAGAGGATATGCAAAAGGTCAGTATGTTCTCTGGCAGCATCTTGTCCATAATCTCCAGGTCAATCTATATCTGTTGTAGAATCATCGCATTCAATGGAGACAGGACATCATCGGCCTGTGCGACCACTGGCTCATGAGTTTACTATCACCACCACCACCTCAACTACTGATACCATCAACGTTTTCATTACCATTGCTCAACCAAGTGCTAGTGTTGCGACTTAGGCTGCCAATGATGCAAATCCACCGGCATCTGCAGCAGACTCAAAGAAAGGTGTGGAGGCTAATACATTGCGCCAACAAAGCGACCTTTAAAATCACTTTGAGTGCCTACAAAAAGGTCAACTTGCAAAGTGCAAAGAGTGCAGCAAGAAAGTAGAGGGTAAGTGAAGACTCATCTCGCCCTCACCAGCGCTTATGTGAAGCAACATTTGCAAAGATACCAAAATCCCATTGTACAGTGCTACGGGATTTGCTGGCGCTATATAAATAATAAAATAATAATTACTATGGTAAGAAACAGAACAAGAAAGTACCACGGCATGTAACCGGTTCACTGATATCTGATTCTGTGCAGTTGTCACAACCAACCACCAGTGCTACCTCCCCTTCAACTATCAATATGCCTTTTTATACATGACTGCACCTTACTAGCTTTTGCAATATTAGGCCAGCATTACATATTTTGTCTTCTATAATTGTTCCCAAGTCTTTTTCATTTAATGTTATCCCCAACTCCACCCCATTTAATGTATAATGGGCTTGTGGGTCCCTAATATCAAAATGTGTGATTTGCATTTATCTTTATTGAATCTCACCTGCCACTTGCCTGCCCAGTCCACCAAGTTATCCAAATCCTTGTACAGAAGTTATATAATTTTCAGACTATATTATCTTACCTAGTTTTGTAGCATCTGCAAACCCTGATGCCCATTTCAAGATCATTTCTAAAAAGATTAAAGAGAAGTGGACTAAGGACAGAACCTTGAGGCACTCCACTTACCTCTTTTGAACAAATTGAAAATGTTCCATTTACAACTACTCTATGCACTCTATCTTTAAGCCAATGTTCTATCCAAGAACATGATTTTTCATGTAAACCAATTGATTTCAATTTTAATAGTTGCAATTTCTGTGGAACTTTATCAAATGCACTAGCAAAATGCAAGTAGATCACATCCATTGAAACATCCAGATGTATATTTCTACTAACTAATTTGCATGACCTGTCTTTGATAAAACCATGTAATAAAAAATAAATAAGAAAACAAAAAAGTATATTACTACCTGTTTATAGGTTATCTGACAGTCTGCAGCCAGGTTGTAAATTAAAAGCAGCTTACTTAGAGCTGTTGGGGCTAAGGTTGTGTGCATACATTTGATAAATACATCTTTCCGGTTTAAGGTGTCATGGTTAGGGTGGTAGGCATATAGTGCAGCATTCTTCAAATCATTTTTGTGCAAAATCTATAAAGGTTTGAGCATGCAAAAATAAAATACAGCATATTAACCCCTTAAGGACTGAGCCAATTGTACATGTTGTGATCAGGGCTGGTGCAAGGATTTTTGGCGCCCCAGGCAAAACAAAAATTTGCCCCCCCCCATGTGACGTCACAATGCCCTACCCATATGATCTGCCATATTAACTATCTCCAGTGCTGCACACAGTGTGTGCTTACATTAAAAAGCCTGCATGGACAGGC